ATTAATGTGGATCCTGAAAATGAGCTGTTGTTAAAAAAATAATTCTTATGAAAACTAGACTGCAAAAAACCATACTTTTCTTAGCAAGCCAACTGAATGCTTTGTGTATATGTAAAGCCCAAACACAGACAGACAGCACTCAGTTTGAGCAATGTTGAATCTCAACAAATTACTAGTTCATCTTCCCTCCAGGCACCTCCAGTGCCAGGGATGCTCCAAGGAACATCAGCCAAGGAACAGCCCCTAATGCCAAGCTCACATTTCCTAGCCAATAATTTACCACAGTCCCTTCAGTCATGCTAAGTCTGACATCTGCGTTAATCCAAATATTTCAAAATGTTTTTTTCAAATGTTTTATCTCCTGTGATTGAGAACTGTTCTTTACAGCTTAGTCTTGGTGGAATTTTTTTACTCTTTTCCTTGTAAATTATTCGGTTGAGGGAAAAAAAAAAAACAAAACAACAACAACAAAAAAACATTATCCTTTCTTAAGAAAGAAAAATGCAAAGCAATGAAAATTCAGTTTAATCATCTTATTTAGGCTGTCTCAGCAGTTCTTGGAAAAAAAAACAGAAAATCCTGTTTTTATACACATACATACTGAATACATATTAAGTGGAAAATACAGAGTAGTCACTCGTAAACAGACTTACTTTCATGTGGAATGTCTTATAACTGGTAAAATACTCTGCAGCTTTAAAGTTTCAGTAGCATGGGCACATTTACTGGAGGTTTTAACTGGAACATGTATTTTCCCTATCAAAGATTCAGAAACTTTGAATAAAACTTGCTAATCCCCTGTTATCCTTATTGTTGCTGATGTTAAGAGCGGGTAGTAGCATTAGGACTTTAGAAATGTTTCTCAAATTTATTTTCAGAGATCAATTCTTTATCTTGGTGATGATAGACAGCATAAAACATCTGCAAATCAGCATTTATGCAAAAATAACTCTTAGTATGAAAGAATCACTTGTGCAAACACTAGCTTTCACATTCAGTTACCGCCTTGGGCAAAGTACATCATCAATATTTCTGTGAGCAAGAAATTATTCTCTGTGTACAAAGAGTATATCTTAACATGCTGCCTGATTCTCAGAAAATACTCATTTTCATTGCCTTTGATGGCAGAGAAGGAAAGCCAGCCTCTTTTTGCATATGATAGTTTGGGCCCCCAAATGGGAGGCACTGATTTTTGCAAAAAGCGTGGACCTGAAATTAATTCTTTTACTTTCCTCACTCTAGCCCAAAACTTTGGCTTCTATTGCAATATCTTTCTGCATACAGTCTAGTAGGAAAGGTCTTCCTCTGCAGTACTGATTTGGTTTCAGGTCCATTTCACTGGGCACAGCAAAAGCATTTAGAGCATGTAAGAAATCTTCAAATGAAGTCGCTGAAAAAGAGCTTGCAATCTCCTGTTATATCACCTATGCCATCTGTACAGAATTTTCTCAAGAAATTACTGTGAAAACATACAGCCAAGATCATAACAGCATCCCCAGATTCCTTTGTGGACGTGTTCCTAATGTTCAGGGTAATTATCTTCTTGATAAGACTCAACAATAATCACACTTGGGTATTTTAAGGACTTCTTAAATGGCAAAGACATTTCAGTGTCTTGGCCTATATACAGATGAAAGCCATAATTATAGGAAACTTGCAAAGATCTCTCTTTAGGGAAAATGAGTAGAATTTGCTACATTTACTAAATATTTTAGCAGCTGCATCCACTCCCATTTTCTGGGAAACTAATAGGTACATGTTGTCAGAGATGCACAGCATTATTTTGAGTCACACTGAGCTAGGGAGGTCCGCAGGTGCTGAGATGAGCAGTATCAGCCTCCTGGGGCTTCTTGCCTGGGTCTGCCCTACAGCTCAGCACTGTCCCTGACCCACTGTGCCACAGCTGTAGATATGATATGGCGTGAGTTACAGACACAGCACCATGCCAGGTTTCAAGGGCTGCAGTGCGTGTCATAGCCTTCCACCAGGACCTTGTTTCATCAGTCCAACCACATTCACATACGAAAACCAAGCTGGGCATTCTTGAAAGAAAACACCAACACCCTCTGAGAAGAAACGGCATTACTCTAAAATACGGGTCCCATCCTGCCACTGGCGCATGGTATTTGCTGGCCTGAAAATTGCCCACGAACAGCTAGCAAGATTCTCAGATGTGCTCATTTTTTAGAGGATTATTCTCAATGTGCAGTCAGCCTGTAAAAGGTCTGTGCATACAGACAGTCTCCATCAGGTCAATTACTCGCAGAAGTTGCACGGTGCTTTTTCTGTGCTGCGACTGGGTGACTTGTCTGCCTTGCACAGCGTGAGCTGTGAATAGTGCAATTAAGTGCACAATGTTGAGTCACAATATGGAAACATGACAGCAAGCATTTGCTTTTCATAATCATCTACCATAATAAAGTTTGAGACTTTGCTTACTAATAGCATGACAATTAGGCTGGGAAAGGGTCAGACTGAATTAAAACATTTTTAAGGACAAGGATCTCGCAGCTCAACATTGCTGCTACCCTGTAAGACAAAAACAAGGAGGTGATGAGTTTCCTTGGCTGTGCCAGCATCCACAAACACAACATAACCTGTCCCAACTGACAAAATCCAGAGTGATGAAAGCTTTCTGCTCCCCATGTGAAAATCTACATCCTACTAGTAGGGCCTTCAAATACAGTGCAACACAGTTCAAGAACATAATGGAAAAATAGAGTTTTATTTTGTATTCGTACTATCTGCCAAGTTTGCCTGTGCTATTTTCTGCTAATCTGTTCCCCACGTGGCAAAAAGTTCAATGACAGCAGGAACATGAACTTTAGTCTTCACCTCACAGCAGAGAAGAAATGGCAGAATGGGCCACTGCAGGAAAGCAGGGAGCTCTTTTCTTATTGGTGGGGTTTTTTCCACCTCTCTCCTCTCAATTTCCTTAAAAGTAATTAAATCTAAAACTTCACTTGTCATGAAAATTAGAGCCAGTTCACTTTTATCCAGTTAGCCTGCATTTCACTGATAAATTACTTGGGGGATGTTGTAAACCACTCTAAACTGTTATTTTTCCAGAAAAGAGAAAGGAAAAAAACAGAATTTAACAGAAAAAGAAAAAAAAAAGTCATATTTGTTTCAAGGGATGGCAGTGCAAGGACCAGGATAAGATGCTTGTTCTGGACAGCCATTATCTGTAGATCTCATAATTGATCAGAAACATTCCCTTGAATAGCATAGAATGCTTCTTAGAAATGATGTAAGGCTTTTGTTGCTTCTAGTCATTTCTGAGCACAGGAGATTGGAGATCACAGCCAGGACATTCCTGATCTAAAAAGCTATTTTTTGTAATTTTGCAGTTTTTAAAGATGCTGTTGTTACAATTTCCCTTTCCCTCAACTACCTGCAGTGCACTCATGGTAACTAATGCATTTGCTTTTATTGAAGAAGAGATGCTAAAAGATAGACAGAGAATGCAATATGTAGTTTCCTAAACTAACATATGCAGAATATTAGCTGCATTCAGGTTTCCCCATACACTTGAGTCCTCTAAATACACTGACCCATATAGATCACACTCCACATTTTCAAATCTGTTCTTGCTGATTTCTTTATTAATAGCCTTCTAATTGCTCTATTTTTGTTACGTTTCCCCAGTGGGGTTTCCAGGGCAGGCAGTTATCAGGAATTCACAACGAAGCCTGAAAATAACCTACAGGTCCAGCATGTTGTCCTTAGAACTCCATCCCAGTGCATGCAGTGGGTTGTCATGACAGGATACCTCCACTCTCCAAGCACTGAAATGGCAGCCACGTATATATTTTATCATGGCTATGTTTATTTACCGGGGTGTATGTGGAGGCTGAGGTCGTTGTATTCTGCAGCCTTATGGGACAATCAGAGACCTCACCTAAAAAATACTACTCCCAAAAGTTAACTGCTGATTAATGGGAAAAGATCACAAATCTAAAAGGCTGTGGCAAGTAGTAAAGGAAACTGCAGATAACCCGCACCTCATTAAATTGCCTGGGTTATAGAGCAAAACCTATTGGCACTGACAAAGATCTGCAGCAAGCTACAAACTCAAATTTTCCTATTTCGTGTAAGGGAGGAAGGGTCACTAAACAGCAGAAAGTGGATCTAATGAGGATCAGCAGGACAGCGCTAGCTATAATGATCTATGAGCTTTTGTGGGAGGTTATATTTAGTGTAAGTTTAGCAAGTGTTGGATGTTTCTCTGTTGTTTTATACCTCGGTGTGAAATGGTGACATGAGATAACAGTCTGCTAACCTGCCTAGCTGGGGCTGCCAGTTCAGAACCCACAGTGCCCATCACCTGTCAGGGGAACCTGCAGGCCACACTCTTAGCTGCTTTTAGGGGAAGAAAGGAGACCATAAATACCCAACAGATGGAGAGCACACATGCCTTGATAAGCATCTTGATTTAATCCAAACAATGTGCCACAGCAGCATGGAAACAGAAAGCATGTTTCTTAGACAGAGATTCTGTCTTTTCCTTTGAACCCATGTATGTTTTATACTTTCCAAAGTAAACATTTAATATTTCAAAGACTCTTCTGTAAAGCTGTCTGCTGCTTGCTTCTACTACCCTTTAGCTCAGAGGTAATGTAACAATAAAAAAACAGCAACCTGGAGCCTACAGGCACTCTTCACATACTGGTGAGTCTTGGAGAGCCAGCACTGATTCTGCGGGCACATGGTAGCTTGTCTCATTTCCATGAAACAACAATAAACAGACTCAATTCCCAGGAACCACACAAGCTCTGGGGCTTGCTCATTCCCACAGCACAGCAGGAGGGCTGCCAGAGCCACAGGGGTGCATGGGGCTCTGCTTACAGGCCAGCCGAGTAGCACAGCTGATGGGCTGCCAGGATGGTTTGCCTGCATGGCATACACACGGTGTCTTTTCATGAAAAGCAAAGCCTGGTTTGCAAGGAGAGGAGAAAAAAGTCAACAGGAATAACTGATTGTGTTTAATTTATTTCTAGAGTTTTCTGGAGTCTCTTGGGGTGCTGATCTTTACATGGGTAAGATGAAGTACACCTCTCCCTTTCTCCTTCGCCTTCTACTTTGCATTTGCCCATCAGTACAACTGTCATTTCCAAAGGATGCCACTTTTGGCTTGGGAAACATCACCAATATTTAGACTAAAAAGGATCTGAAGATACTCATGTGCATAGTTGCCACAAATGCTGTTAAGCCTAAAATACCATACATTATTTATCATTAAGTAATTTTAAAAACGTCCCATGGCATATTTTGAAAAACTGTAGAAGTCCAGAATAAAAAGCTAGGAAGAAAGTAAGTACTAAAAAAGAGAAGAGGATTCTTATATATGCTTTTAAAAGTACCTCAAAAGCCAACATGCTATGCATGCTTAATCTTTATTTATATATGTATATATTTATAATCTATGAGGCAATATCCATCTTAAAAGCATTACTTCATTTAGATTGCTGTATTCAAGCACCCTATCACACATTGTAGAACTCTCATAAAAGCTGAAAAGAACAGCCAAGAAATGCATTAAGAGACTTAGCTTATTAATGGCCAGTCACATATAGACTCATTTTTCTTGCCATAGGCTTTTATGATCTAGCAATAGAAATTTTTTCTTCATCTTTTTCAGAAATAACAGAGAGTTCCAAGAAATGGAAGCTGCTGCTAGTAGAAGAAGAAAAGCTGAGTATCATCAGGGTTAATAACTGCTACTTGAGATCCATGAATGATTACAGAGTTACACTTCTATATCGAACTTTCCAGTGCCATTAGTAATATGCTGCCTGTCTGGGACATCGGTACCCTCATGGTGAGAAGACTATTTCTTCTTCACACCAAATAGAAGAGCTGCAGGAACAATGGCTTCTAAGGTCTCGTGCTTGTACGTTTTGACAGTAGTTTGCTGGGCAAGCGCTCTCTGGTACTTAAGTATAACCCGTCCTACTTCTTCCTACACTGGCCACAGACAGGTTAATAGCATATCAATAGCCAGAAAAAATGTCTCCTTTGGCAACATAAGAACTCGACCTATAAATCCACATTCCTTTGACTTTCTCATCAATGAGCCTAATAAATGCGAGAAGAGTGTCCCTTTCTTGGTCATTCTTATCAGCACAACTCACAAAGAGTTTGATGCAAGGCAAGCAATTCGGGAAACATGGGGAGACGAAAACAATTTTAAAGGAATTAAGATTGCCACGCTGTTTCTTCTTGGGAAAAATGCAGATCCTGTATTAAATCAGATGGTAGAGCAAGAAAGCCAAATTTTTCATGACATTATTGTAGAGGATTTTATTGACTCCTATCATAACCTCACTCTGAAAACATTAATGGGGATGAGGTGGATAGCAACATATTGTTCAAAAGCAAAGTACGTTATGAAGACAGACAGTGATATTTTTGTAAATATGGATAATCTTATTTATAAGCTGCTCAAACCTAACACCAAGCCAAGGAGAAGGTACTTCACTGGTTACGTTATCAATGGAGGGCCAATACGAGACGTTCGCAGCAAGTGGTACATGCCCAGAGATTTGTATCCTGACAGCAATTACCCACCCTTCTGTTCGGGCACTGGCTACATTTTTTCAGCAGATGTAGCAGAACTGATTTACAAAACTTCTCTTCACACCAGACTCCTCCATCTCGAAGACGTGTATGTCGGACTCTGCCTTCGGAAGCTGGGCATCCACCCCTTCCAGAACAGTGGCTTCAACCACTGGAAAATGGCCTACAGCTTGTGCAGGTACCGCAGGGTGATCACGGTGCACCAGATTACACCAGAAGAAATGCACAGAATTTGGAATGACATGTCAAGCAAGAAGCATCTTAGATGCTAAGATTTTTACAGATGTAAATACCTTTTTTAAATTTTGCTTTACTCTGGTTATTTTTTGACAAAGTGATGTACTGATTTACAGGTTAAACTGGGATATTACTGTGAGAGGATTTTTAATGACTGATTTCTCATTCTCATTTTGACTACTGGTTTACAGACTTCAGGCTCTTTTCTTAAGGACGCTACACCAGTCAAAAGGATCTATAGTCAAAGCTCAGATTTTGTATATTATCCTCCATCACACATATCAGCTCCTGCATCTGTACGTGAAAGGACAGTAATAAGCTATCATGAGCTGTTTAATAGTTCATGCCCCAGCCTCTGAGATAAGACTCGGGCCATACAAAGTGAAGAATAGACTTTTATCCCCTTTTGACACCCAACAATCATCCCTATTTAGAGCTTTGTTAATAAATTGAACAGTATGTATTTGCAAAGATCTCATATGCCTACCTTGGCATCTATATCTTACAGAACAATGTGTGCAGTTCCCAAGCAGGATGCTGATGGTGCAATAGCAGAATTTAGACAGGTAAGAACATCAAAGTCTCACGGGCCTTAGAACCAAACTCACACACAGAAGCATTTTTTTATCCCCCAAATAAATCATTTCACAAAATACTCCATTTCTCGCCACTGTTACAAGTAGACCCAAAAATATCTAATCCAACTTTGAAATGAAATATAATCTGTAAATTAAATGCAAGATGGGAAACATATGGAAAATCATCTTAAACATCAGTGATAATTTTAAAGTGAATGCAACATTTCTCATTAGTATTGGTGTCTGTGAATCTCTCCCTGTTTAGGAGTATATTAATGAATATGATAACAAGATTATTTTCTATTTGGAAAGAAGATCGAATGACTTGTGTAGAAACACATAATTTTATCAAATGATAAAATTGTTAGTTAATAAGCAGCACGTTCCATCAACGTCAGTTGGTATACTATTTATCTGAACAAAAATCTAACACAGAAGAACATTACTTAAGGGTAAACTCTGTTTTTTTGCTTCAGTGCATATGAAAATGAGATTAAACCATATTTTTAATGGTTTTTATCCAATGCATTTTCTGTTGATTGGACAACACGCAACTTCCATAGAAAAATAGAGAGCTTTTAAAAAAAAAAAATCCTTCTGCCTTTGTAACCAACCTGCAGCTCTCCACCACAGAACCAGTGCTCACTGAGGTGCAGCTGAAAAAAGCACCAGAACTTAGAAATCCCAGGGCATGTGATAAAGATCAAATATGCAAGATTGTATTCAGGTTTGGTAATGTACTTTGATGTTCTAAATATGAATGTTAATGAGATGTGATGAAAATTATTTCCTGAAAAACTCTTCGATGTGTTCATACCATCCCTGCTCTGCACTGCTTTTCAAAAAAGAACTAAAAAGTGATATCGCTTAGCAAGTAACTCGGAATGAGGAATTCATAGGCAATCCACAGGTATAAAATTCACCAAGTGTGTATTAGCTCTGGATTGCTCACACTGTCCACAGCTCACACGTAGGCTTCATTCATTTCAATGGGAGATATCCATAACATGAAAAACTGTTAAGAATGCACGTTATTCAGGATAAAGTCTATAAAGTCGTCAGAAATTAACTGAATCAGAATTTAAAGGAAAACTCCATACCGATTTTGCCATAGGCGTATATAATACTTTATAACAATAGCAATTGAATGAGGATCCTACCCCAAAAGCTTTGCAGTTTCAAGACATTGTTAGTCTTATTCACAGGTACAACACCATTGTTTCAAAGGGAATTACTGGTAAATAAGGTGAAGGGTACCTGGCATTTGAACTACACACAGTAAATGCCTCAGAGATCTACTTCAAATCTAAATGGTGAAGCTACAGAACAGACGGCACTGCAGTTACTTGCTAATCAACAGGAGCTCATGAAAATCAGTAATTTTATACAAAAATACTGAATCTCCTGCAGCATAATTAAGATTTATCCTTCTCTAGTTGACCCAGTCCTTGTTAAAGTTGCTCTTGCTTCCTTACAAATTCAGAACTCCAACAAAACAAGGTCCAACTAATTGCATATATGTATATAAGAAACAGAGAGTGAAATTCAGCTTTTTTTAAACAGGTCCCAGAATATGCAGTTAGGGAAGGAAAACTAGGGTGGAATTCAACCCCAACCCTCAGTAGGTCACAGAGCATGAATGTAACCATACCAGGGTACACTCTGTAGTAATTACAACCAAGGCTGAAATATCTTCTACCATTTGTTGATACTGTGTTGTAATTTGGGGTTTCTGAATCTGCAATCTGGATTTGGTGGCTTTAATTCTTCTGCTGGTGATTCTATAGTCTGTGGCTAGTAAAATCAAGGACGGCAGAGCTCCCTGTCCTGATACCTCAGGGCTCAAGTAGCACAGCAGCCTTGAATTACTCCTAGTAGAAGTAGACTGCATTAACAATCGGAGCGTGCACCTTGAAAATAACATCTTCAAAAATATATTTCCTGCCATTTATAAATAGATAGATCTTAATGACAATGTAAATTTTCACCTTGGAAACTATGTACATATTCCTAAGGCATTTTATTCTGTATTCAGCTGTATATATGTGTGTATGGTCTGCTTGCTATGTAGTATTCTGTTATGCATGGAGCTGAATTAGGCATTATATTTGTCCAGTGTTTCAAGAGCCTTAAGCATGTGTGGCCTAACTTTTGAATGTACAAGACTTTTTTCTTTTATTGTCAAGTGAATTTAAATCTACGAAACCTAATTTTCTACTTCTATTAGTTTTCTCATAGTAGGCTTCACTAGATTGCTACACATAAATAAAGAGATTAATTTTCCCTTTGCTCAGAAATTGCATTATTTCAACCTAGAGCTAGAAAGGGAAACCATGACAGCCATGCATCTACTTGTGGACAGCATGGGTTTTATTCTCCAAGCACTTAGAAATGCTTGTGTCACCTTGGGGACTGTTAACAAATAACATTGTTTGCATTGAGCTCCCTTTAAACAAAAGGAGTATTTGCTCCTTAAAGGTCATTTTGTTTCACTGGGCATGGGGCAAATGACAATTTGGTTAAGATGTTCTGGCTTCTAGTCACTTCAAAACTGTGAAGTAATCATATTTTTATTTCAAAGCATCCAGTAACAAAGCACACTGAACTAAGAATCTATGGGAAAGCGTCTCTCTTTTGGAGGAACTTTTCACAAAACACTTCTAGGCTGAATTCATGAGAGTATTTAGACAGAAGTCTCAAGATTCATTTTCCGTCTTTCCTAATAATAATCTTAAGTATCAATTTTCATTTGTTACGGGGATTTTTGTCTTTATAACGTAGATGGCAATGGCATTTGTAAATGAAGAGTGTAATTAACTAGAAAAGCTTGTCAACAGTAACCAAACTTTAGGTGTATCATTATATACGATTGGCTGTACTTACGTATTTATTTGTCTAAATTGTATATATTGTTTTATCTCCGGTGTCCGTAGGAGTGCATTCTTTTAGATTAAAGTATTATCTACAGTTTTGTGGGATTGCCAGCAAAGCTGCTAATCAAGATACTATTTTTTTGTATCAATGTCAAATAATAATAATAATAAAAAAAAAAAGAACAACAGAGTCAAATGAAAAATTGAAGGTGTCACATAGTTTTCTTCATTTCTCTCTAGGAATGTAGGTGGTATTATCTGAAATTATGATATCAGTAAGTAAGGTTCATTTTTCAGGAGGAAGAATATTATCCTGTAAAAGCAGATTTTAGAAAAATGATTGGGGAAAAAAAAGGATAAAAATACTGCTTTACTGTTTGCACAGCAACTTAAGCTGCTGTCCATACTGACCAGGCATACTACTTCATTTGGCTCCAAAGAGCTGATCTTATAACAGCCATGGCAACATCTAGCAAATTAGCAGATGGGCTCCTCATCTGCTTTGGCATCCCCAGCATTGCATTTAGTTTGGCAGCCTCAAAGTGGAGGAGCTCTTCGGCTCCACTAGCCCTGTAACATGAGGGACCTCCTGGTACCTGGTGTGTTTGCAGCCATTCAAAAGCTACATATAGGAAAAAAGCACAAGCGTTCAAAAACGCACATCTCATTAAACCACAACAAACTCACTCTGAGGTTGCTGCATGGCTGCTGGGAGGGCATGCACAGGCACCAACCAACAGGAAGTGGTCAAAAGAGGACCTCCTTGCACACAGTCACAGGGCTCCTGCTTCCACATGCCCCAACCAGGAGCATTAATGACGAAGCATATTCTGAACGCACCCAGCTTATCTTGTTAGTCTAATGTGGGGCTTTGCTCTTAATACAAGTAAGATGCTATTTTTCAGGTGGGAAGGCCTGGGAGGCCTCAGGGTTTTCACATCAACATAAGGAAAGAAGAGAAGCAAACCCATAAGAGCAATATGAAATCCTTTTACTCCACGAACTAGTGAGAATCAGGATACTGGTTTCTTTTGGCTTTTTTTTTCTATCTATGTCAAATAATAAAAGGGTGTTATGTATTTCATTTCGTTCTAGAAACATAAGTGGTATTACCTGAAAGTATGATATCAATAAATAGGTTCACTGTCTTCCCTCCACCCTCACCTTCGCAATTTCTGGCTCAGAACTCAGTTTCTAAGCAGTTTGTTTTTGTTTTTCCTGGGGTCACCTCTTTCAGGAGCAGCTGGAGGCTGCTACAGACGTCAGGCACCCTGAAGTGCCTGCAGTGACACCTACAAGTTATAGCAAGGAGAGCTTTAAAACAACTTCATGTACAGGAAAAACCTCTCCAATCATTTGCAGATTTTTCTCATTTTCACCACAGCCGCCTAAGTCTAATTGCAACACTTACATGGTGCTTAATTAATATACAGCTTAGAGATATACAGATATTAGCACTTGTAGGGTAGATTTCATGTAGCTTGATTATCTTAATTACAAGCATTCTATTTTCTCATTTACTTAATTGATTGTCATAGATTTCCAAAGAAATTTTTACTGCCTTAAGTGAAAACAACATATTAAAGAAAACTGCTGAAGCTATCCAATTGAAAGAGCAAAGTGCCACATACGACATGAAACATTCTACTGAATAATACCTGCTTACTTTTCCCTTGTTAAAAAGAGTCATTTATGAAATTGAAGCAGGAGAATCATCTGAAAAAGAATAATGAATATGTGTTATTGATTCAACTGCACCTGTAATAGAGTTGTCTCAAGCATCTCCTCTGATGACAGCCTAACTCAGGGAAAAAAGGCCCATGTTTCTGCTAAGTCTGCACAACAGCTGACTCTACATTATAACTCTGCCTCACTTGAAAGAGCTAAGGAGAGCAAGAGGTGATTTACTCTTCACGCAAGGTTTATCCTTGAACATTTCTTCTGCAAAGGCAGCATTACACGACAAGCTGTGCAGAATTATGTGCAGTGGTTTTGTAATGCATGCAACTTTTATGCAGGGCAAGCTAATATCCCAAATTTGAGTTGCCCTAGGCATTATCTACCATATCTGCAGCCAAGCCAAGACTGCTAGAAAAATTATGATCTCAAAATCCTTTTTTTCCTTTAGGAGTTTCCTTACTCCATGATGTTTTGAAGACTGCAAGAAAAAGCAGATCTTCAGGTGCATCAGTATAGCAGTAAAAGGAGGAAGCTGAGAGCTCCCTGGAGTTCTTGTGAAGAAGCAGGAGGAGGCCCAGAGCATAGAATTATTTAGCTGACATCCATCCTCCTGGCAATCACAGCCATCCAATGAGAGGCCGCAGCCAGTGCCTGGACTCTGATCCTGGTGCACTGTGACTGAGCTCCAGTCTAGCACTCACATGAGGAGGAAGGAGACATGATAAGATGTAGAATCATTAAGGTTGGAAAAGACCATTAAGATCATGTAGACCAACCATAAAGGTATAGCAGCATATGAAATAATCCACGTCTAAAGCAATTTAGAACATTCAGAAGAACATGTTAAAAGAAAGCAGTGCCAAAGTGTAACAAGAGCAGAAAGGAAAATATTTGAAACATTCTAAATTTTTATTATTTATGCAACTTCATTTAAAATCCTTCCTCAAAAAGAATCTTGAATTGTTAGACATTTCAGAGTAATCCATTATCCATCAGATATTATCCTCATACATATTCAAAGGCAACGGAATAAAAAACTGGTCTCCATTATCTGCTGTACTGCAGATTACATTTGGATTGAGATATGTAAAGCAAATCAGATCTGATCCAAGTCACAGTGCAAATCAGTGTCATGGGGATTTGTGCATGCATTTAAAAGAGCCAAATTTGATCCTCTGTGTCTAACTTAAGTATTACTCCTGTTCAAAGTGAAGTTACCTGGGATAGGACCTTGATTTCTGGGGAAGAACACTATAATCCAGGCAGTACTTTAATCACCAGAAACTTCATCTCTTACCAAATGCAAGCTAGAAAACAAGTCAAGGAGCAACCTCTCCAGTTTCCCCTTAAACCCAATCCTAATGAATACAAAGTAGAACACAAGACCTGTGGGTTTGTGAGCTGTTCAGCACTTAACTTGTGGTGGGAGAGAGCTTTCTGTCAGTTCACTAACATGTTATATTCTGCTCATAAAAAGTCTGTTTGGCAGCACTAAAAAACACATGCCACCAGCAAGAACAGGAGCCCTGCAGGGCCATATCTGCTCCTTGCAATCACTGCTTTTTCATTCCCTAAGTTGCCTTTAGTTTTGCAGTTATTGCACTAGAGAAAAAATGGTGGTGTAAATTTCCTAAACGTCTTTCACCTAGGAGAATACCAATGATCTCTAATTTAGAGTAATTTTATTTCCCCTTGATTTTTTTTCTTCTGCACTTCTAATATGATTCACTTTGCTGCTGTTTCCCCTATGCTTTTCATTTTCCTTCCACTTTTACATGACACATCATCTTCTTACCAACCAATGTATCCACCCAAAACAACCATAAAATTGTACACAAAGAGATGGCCTCTACCTGAGGAGTTTACAGCCCTACATAGTCCAGTGTGATTCAGAGGACAAACAGTCCTATAAAACATATAGAATATACAACTGCTCTTTCAAGAGCCTTTTCTACATCACTACCTGCTCCAGCTTTTAAGTACATGGAAAGTTCTACCATCTTTCATCTTGCCTCTACCTGCAGAGATCACTGCACAACCTAACAGGTCTTGCTATCACACGTTTTCCCAATTTTTGTTTGCTTTCCTCATAATCTTAAATAGCTCACAAGAATTCAAAACAATGTGGTTTTTTTTTCCCCCACATTTTCAATTAATCAAGTACATCTCCATCCACAATTTCAGTCTTCAACCTTTATATCTGTTCCTGCTCCCCACGTTGCCTGCCCTTGCCTCACATCTTCCTAATGACCAAGCATCCAGCACTGAACCTACTGCAAGTGTATTTGCGTGAAGGCTGAGCACAGCAGTGCTTTTCTCTCTTTCTCCATTTCTGATGTCTCAGGGACTGGAATACTAGATTCCTTTCACCAGACAGGACAATTTGTCTTATATTATCACATTTGAAACAGAAAATTTACTTTTGTTATCTGAAGCAGATAGCAAGTCTGCAGAGCTGGAGTAACTACAGACAGAGCAGGTATCGACATACCCATGTAATCTTTAAAGCACCTAGTTAATGAACCTCACATAAATTCCCCTCCTCCCTCCCCCACAAAAGCCACAGAAAAGTCCTGACCAACCAGGAGGAAGCCATTGAGGTCCACCGAAGCTTTATCTGAAGTTTGCCATCACTTTGGAACCACTTAGCTTCTGGTTTTATTAAACTTCAGTTGCAGGCTGGTTTGTGAAATGAAGTGTTACTGTCTCTAGAGAGTCCTATTATGTAGGAACAAGAATGACTTGGTACTTCCCAGGCACTATTTTATTCCAGCCATTTACAGCAGATCTGTACTTTGAATTACAAACTCAGCTGATGGCAAGGTTGATGATGGGCTGCTTTAATTGGTCTTTAAAAGCCAGTCTTATTTACTGCTTTGTTCCTTGTATTCAGCATTTCTGCACATGGGGATGAAAGTAACATGCCAGTATAAAGAATATATACAGCACATAATTAAAACTACATTTTTAAATAGATGAACATACATGCACACAACACAAGTGTTGGCATATACTTAGAAGTGCAGGTTACAAAAGCATGCATTTTAATTTGTATTTTGCTGCAATTCAGCTGTTACTTAGAACAGACGGGTGAGTCGTGAAACATTTTTAAACTGATTTAATTACTTGTAGAAGTATCATCTTGTGTTAATTAGGTGCAATAAATTACAGTGGTTCACAGATCCCTTTAAAAGGGAACACACAATACAATGATCTTTTTTCTCAGTATCAGTAAGAAAATAAACTGAGCTTTGCAAGCCAGTATTTCACAGCAGCTATTGTCTATCAGTTTAGCACCACAGAAATAAGATTAAAAAACCACACAAGACAAAAATGTACTTAACGTGAGATCTCGTCACCTATTTGCACCTCAGAGGGA